AGTTAGCATCCTTTTATCTCCCTCTCTGGTTGCTCTGGGGTCATGGCGATTGCTCCGCCAGCTAGCTGGTAGTGTTGACTTTAGGTTAGTAGGATTGGTTGAACTTTGGTTGAGATGATCGGCATCCTTTGCTTTGCTTTAAAATTCGTGCACGTCATATGCTTGGCTCGGGCGCACGGTCACCTCACGTGGCCGCTCGGCGTCGCGCGGCTGGCCGCGTTCCGCGTTCTGCGGTGCCGACCCCAGTCGGCCGGTCTGGCCGTGGGTTGGCCGAGACCGGCCCAGCGGGCCGCTGTCATCGCCCTGCAGCTGCTGGCCATCGCGCTGCTGGCCCACCTCACTGCTGCGCTGCTGCGCGAACCGCTGTGCCGTGCTGGAGGGTTGCCACTGCGTGGTCGCTTGGCAAGGTGTCGTCACAATACGGTTGATGTGTGCCCACTATCGCTGCATGCGTGCACCACCGTGTCCACTGAGCCACGTGCGGGGTCGAGCCAAGGTCATGGCCATTGTCGCCATGTTGACATGGCAGTTGCCCTACCCTGCGTCTCACCTACCGCGAGCCGTGCCATCGTTCGTCGCGTCTGGGTCAGCCGACCCTAGCTTTAGGGTGATGGTGATGCCTCCCTGATTCGCCCTGTTCCGCTAGCCGACGCTGGTGAGCCGCTCGGGCCCGTCTACCGCATTCAAGTGCCTCGCGTGCTAGCACACCTCTTGGCTCTGTCTAGCACTACCCGACGCGCCTATTGCCCTCGCTCGTGTGACCATGTCCTCGTGTTGTCGTACCCTGTCGGGTCGTGGCCAGGTTACCTCTGATGGGGCCGTGTCGTGTGAGGTAGCAGGGGCGATGTGCCACCCTCTTCCCTTCATAATAACCAACTCAAAGCTTCCTAGCTCAATGCCTCACGTCAGTGAGAAGCAGAGGAAGTTAGTTAGACGCCCCACTCTCGTCGGGTCCATCGGTGGTCTGACCATGGCCAATTTCGGATTTTGCTCGCCGTCGGTCATGTGCGTCGACGTGACCAGAGGGTTGGGGGTAAAGCCTGTATGAGTGGTAACAGTTCAATTGCTCGTAACCCTAAGTTCACCGTAACTCCTTCCATCCGTTGCTCACGTTAATTTGGCCACCCATCCTTGCGCGTTTAGATGTAGATGGTGGTCGGTCCCTTAATTCCGTCGTAGAGAGCCTAGTTTGCCCGGCGTAACCGTCTTGTGCTGTCGGCCGCTGTGTCGGCACGCACGAGGATCCTAGGGACCTCCCCGTGGTAAAGGCAAAAACATCTAAGGGTTTGGTTGCAAAGTGACTAACGATAGGAATAGTGCGCATAGTAGTCGTATTAATCTCTAAAAGCTTAGGGGCCTTTCTGCAAAATGGCCAACGCGCGCGGGCGCCCCTGGCCTTGGGCCGTGCTGGGCCGTCACGGCGCACACGCGACCCACGCTGGGACAGAATGGGTTGCTGCCGGCCCTTTTCTTTTTCTAATGCAATTTTAATTTAGTTTCTAAGTTGAACTTGTAAATTTAGTATAAAATTATGTAGTTAACCAAAAATTATGAAACTAATTTTTTTAGGTTCCTAAAATCATGATCTATCTGCTAGTATACTTTGTTCACATAGTTTTATAATATTTTTAGGAGTTATCTAATTAATTTAAGATGCTTAATATTGTTAAGATATAAACTTGAAGGAATTTTTGTGATAAATTGGTGACAGTGTTGGCTCTGAAATTTTCATAATAAATTTATAACATTAGTTTCCTAAGGTAGCTAAATGAGCCCTAGTTCGAAAATATATATTTAATCAATAAAATGCCAAAACACCTTGGAATTGTAGAAGTAAAATACTTGTTGGGAAACAACGTCTTATTCGATAACATGGATGCGTAGACTAGTATGTTAGTTATTAAAGCTAGCTCGTTAGCTTGCGGAGCGTAATCGTATTTTAAGAGTTACAGTTGCCGTTGGTTAATTACGTTTTCTGTGTTGCATCCACGTATATCATAATAGGAACAACGATGGATCATGGAGTCGACTGAAGTAGCGGAAAAGATGATGCCTTGATGATCGTGTCACTATGATGAAATGCTAACTTTTGGTTATATCTTACCTAGGCAAACCCCGGTGCATAACCCTTATTATTCTGCATTTTATCTTATACTTGTACATTAAGTTTTAAGGAGTTGAATGAAAATCACTTGCATATATATCCTATGAGTCCTACTAGTATGTTAGGATCGTGTAGATTGCTATGCTATAGGATCCGATAGAAGTCGAGTGATTATCTGTCACTCGCGAGAGATATGAAAGATATTATTGTTATTGTCACATGAAATATATATGAATGATAATTGGAGACCGGACGGAATGGTACCTTAATCTAGACTTGGTTAGGCATTCGAGCGAGGCTCGGATTGTACTTGTTCTGCCTGTGTTGATTGAGGACCGTCCGTTGTTGTGGATGATAATCAGGTCACAGACTTATTATCCTGAGTACATACTTGCTTATGGGAGCTGGAAGGCTAATTATGTTCTTGTCGTGGGTTCCGACTCTTTCCGGACTGACTGATTGGAGGCAGAAAAAGGTGGAGGTCTAAGCACCATACTGAGACCGGGTCTCAAGTGTGGGGCCTTAGAGTCCAAGTTTGGACGGGGACCTAGAGCCCGTGACAGAAGTGGAATGGGTTGGTCTTGTTTGTGCCTGGGGTACAAATGTGGCGTGTGTTTTGGGGTACCCAGCTGGGATACATTGGTTCGTGAATCGCCGTTTCTGTGATATGGTACCGACTTGGCTATGGTCTAGCACCGTAGTAAGAACTGGAATTTGAAAAATGGTAAAATAGTTCTGATTGCTTATCACCTGTTTGAAAGTAGCACATATGCTTACATAGAATGGTTAGTTAATGAACTAATGATGACTGCTAATGAAATTGAATATAAGAACGCACATTTAGTAATGATTCCGCAGATGCAATAGCTCACAAGCCAGATAGTCTTGCATATCCTTGAAGTCTTTTATTTTTCTTCTGTCGAGTAAGTCTTGCTAAGTATAATCGAGTACTCAGGGTTTTATTTCCCCTGTTGCAGGTGATTGGAGAATAGTTAGAGTTGACTTTTGTGTGTGAAAATCTCCTGGTGGGCTTAGAGATGATTCATTTCACGCTACGACCGTAGTGTTTATTTATAACCCTCACTAAAGATTTTTATAAGAAAAGATGTAAAATCTGCTAGCATCTCTTGTATAAAATATCCATGATTTAAATGCTCCACCATGTCATTAAATTAATCTTGCTTCCTCTATAACTCTGATAACATTGTTATATTCCGCTTTCATAATAAATTGAGGTAATATTCTGGTACTGTAATAAAGTGATGTAAGAAATGACTTAAGAATGTTGTAAGTTTTATTCTCTCATTTATGATTCTGATGGAAAATGTAGATTTTCGATCTCACCCTTGGAGTGTGCTCAACGAAACTATGTATTTTAGTGTCTCTCTTAAAAACTTAGTGTCTAATGGAAGACAAGCACTCCTAGAAAGCATTAGATAAGACGGTTCTGAAAAAAAAAATGAATCGGTGTCCTAACTTGTATAATGAGTGGCGGAGATGGATAACTTGCCTCATCCAGCTTCACAGAAAGGTACGTAACTCTTAGTCTTTGGAGCACCCTCAAGGAGTTTTCTAAACTCTGTAGGTCTAGCCACTAGATATGTTTTCTTAATCTGAATTTTGTTTTTGAGGAAAATAGGAGGGGTTTCCCTCTGCTGGGATTTATTAAACAAACAAACAAAAGGGTACAAATACAGGTTCACGAAGCAAAGAAAGACACAAAGAAAATAAGGAAGATTACACATAATTGTCTAGCCATGAACTAAGTGAAGGCTGGAGTGCTTGCTTTGCCCGGAGGATAACCCTGCGAACTCATCCTTGAAAATTTGCTTGCATCGCCGAAGAGAGACAGGTCTATTTCTGAAGATATGTTCATTGCGCACAGACCAAATTGCCCAAGACATGCAGATTAGGATTTCCAGGAAAAAGGGGACTGCAAGCTGTGTTCTGAAGCTGTCCAGAATATCAGAGGGATCTATCAAGCCCCTGGTTTGTAAGTGGAGCGTGTTCCAGCGTTGGACAGTGAAGGGGCAGGCTAGGAACAAGTGAAGGCTTTCCTCGATGCCATGACTGCATAGGGCACAATTGTAATCATGAAGGACCATATTCTTCCTTCGCAAAAGCCCTCGGGTGTTTAGTCGATCCTTGAGAAGTAACTAGAAGAAACTTTTCTTTATGGAGCTAAAACGTTTGGCTTGTATATTTAGAGTTGATGGAGCTCTTTCAAACAGACCTTAAGTTGTCAGCATACCATGTCAACCACTAATATTTATTTATAATACTTTATTCATATATAAGTAGTCTATCTAATTTCATTTCAATACCTAGTTTCGAGGTGCTGATCGACTTTTTTTTATAAGAAGGTGCTGATCGACATTGACTCGCGGTCCCGGCGCGGCATCGCTCTGCGACGGGAGGAGGAGAGATTGGTCCTGGTTGGCAACTCGTCCACGCGGCCGGCGCGCGCTTGCCGGCCGAGAGTCTGTATAATAACAGGCTGTAGCTAAATGCTAAGGTGGAGAAGAGAGAGAGAAAACGGACTGTAAGTTTACAGCCGGCTTAGACACAAGAACCCAAAAAGCTTTGTAAGCAAGACACGTGAGCTATGTACTACTGTATAAATGAGCTGGGAGAAGACCGTAACTGCTACGATGATCACACCTGTTTCGTTGACAAGCGATACCTGGTAATAGTCCGTGATCCACGCCATAACCAAACCAAACTAATCACGTCTGCCTTCAAATCCCCGATCCACCCCACCCCCACTCGTTCCCCCTCCAAAACCAGTCCACACCGAACTGCAGCGTTCTTAAATCAAAACAAGACCAATCCACAGCCTAAAACCAGGGCTCGAAACCGGCTTCAAATTGTCACGGTGGAACGGTTCAGACAGAGATCACATTACGTCAACGTAGGACGAGTCGCAGAAACCACCGCCGCTGCCACCGGCGAACTCGTCCTGTAGCTCGTCCACCAACTTGGACCCTACGACGTCGAACCGCTGGATCCTGGCCCCTCGCCTGAGCACCTCCTCGTCCTTGTCGTCGAAGCCGACGCAGCTCCGTGCGCTGAACTGATGAACGAGCAGGTTGGAGAGAGAGCGGAGCCTGGGCATGGAGCGCGCCAGCGCCGCGGCGTCCTCGAGCTTGACGGCCCCAGAGGTCTTGAGGCTGGCGAAGCCCGGGCGGTGCAGCGCGAGCCTCTCTCCGCCCCGCCATCCGCCCGCAGCTCCGGCGACCGCGAGGTGGGCATGGCCGAGCCGTGCGCGTCCGTGCGTGCTCTGCTTCCTTTTAGCTTGTCGATATCAGCATGACGTCATGCGTCGCTTTATGGCCGTTTTCCTATATAGAAAAACAAATCTAGTAAGCCGAAACACGGATTGGCTGCTGCTGGACCGTGGCGTAATGCTGGGTTGGAACCACGGCTTCAGCCCGTTAGCAAGCCGAAACACTCGGTTCAAAACCAAACCAAATCAAACTACTAGTAATAACTCAGACCGAACCAGCCCACCAGCTTGCTCAGCCCGTTTTCACAAATTGAATTGGCCCAACCAGAAAACCAAACCATAGAAACTGGTTCCGGCTCAAACAATCAAACCATTGTCAGGTTCGCACGCGAACGCCGCAATCACGCGACTACGAGTCTACTACGACCAGTAGCCCGGAGAACGCGGGCACCAGACCACGGGAAGAGCTTGGAAAGGTGGCCACGTCGTTCGCAATGCGTGCGTGCATGGGTGCCGGAATGCCGGATCGGCAGCTGACCGAGTTGAGTTGGGCGGCCCTCTCCGGCACTGAACCAATCAATGCCACTACACCCGACGGCATTCATCAATGTCACAAGAACGCATGATCCGCACAGGCCATTAGGACATACTCTGTCACTCCTAAATTATCTGTCGTTTTTTGTTTTCGTGCCGTAAGTTTATCTCAATTCGTAAAAAATACGTGCAACATTTATATCTCCAAATAAATTTATTAAAAAACTAGATTCAAAGATATTTCCAATGATATCAATTATGTACCATAAATATTAATATTTTTAAAAATATTTTTTGTCAAAATTGTTCCTCGGGAAGTAAAAAAGACAGATATTTTGGGATGGAGGAAGTATATACAACAAACAGACAAGGGTACAATCCACGTCCAAGGAGTCGTCTCCAACCTATTTAATATTTTGCATGTAGCCAAGATCAATCATGAATATCATTTTGTATGTCATTGTGTTGCTATTTGATAAATAACTAGCAAATATGTCCATGCATTGCAACAGGACATGTATCTTATTACGCAGTCACCTGAATAACTTATAGTTCGACAATTTATATAACGACTACGTCATCTGTTCCAATCCATATTGAATCGGACTTCAGATCATGGCTAGACACGTTCTTCTAATTTTTATGAGCGTGAATAATAAGTCCAGGTCACATATGACACATAGAGGTGTGTGAGGGTATTGTTGAAAGTAAACTATATGGATTGGAAAAATACAATTCTACTTTTTAATAAGAAATGTCTGTTACGTTGGTACAACGTACTACATAGAGAGTCTTTTATGTTGCTACTACATGTAAATGCATACAGAATAGAAAGAGGGCCATGGCTTGGAGTCACGGTTGGTAGATTGCTTTGTTTTATGTGTTGAGTTTTGATTCATCCCGACATTAATTTTACTATATGGATAACTGATCAAGCTTAGATAAGATAAACATGATTACAATATTTTTCAAAAAAAATCATTATAAATGATTATATTATATATATTTGCAACATTTTTTTGTTCACACGACGAAGAGAGTTCACATGATATATAGTTGGAATTGGGCACTTTCAGTTCTGAACTCTAGTGCATCGGCACTTGAAAGCTAGGGGCAATTTAGCATAAGAAAAAAGTTTACCCCATATGTTACTTATTACACACTGCAAATTCTCGCAAGGTACCAAGAGTGTAATCAAGCGTAAGGTTTGCGGGTACATTTGCATAAGCTAAGGCTTACAGTTTCAGACATTGAACCAGGCACACTGCCGTTTTATTATTACACTCTAGCAGTCAACATGGAACTGATGTATCAGAAGTTCAGAAACACATTTATAAAAGACGTGCAAATAAAAGCTAACCAAAAATGAAAAATAATTGTCACTGTGAACTACAACAGCCGATCCACACCACCCAAATGCTCAGTACATTGGCATCATGTCAGATACTGTACCTCAGTCCGAATACTGACAGCTTCTAACCTTTGAATTAACCAGAAAAGAAGCGTCATTTCACTGGTAACCTTTGAAGGCAAAGCTACACTCAGAACACCATCACCTTCCACATTTTACTCCAAATTCCCAATTCAGTCTATATGGGATGCTCCTTTACCAGAGACCCAGACATCGGTCTTACTCTCACCCAATAGCATAACTGAAACCTAGGATAAGCAACATATGCACATTCAGCAGAACTTCCATGCACGAGGATATCAATGCAAAATGTGTTGGTGTTGACAGATTGATAGCAGTTGAAAATTAAGAAATACATGTAAATAGCAAGAAAACATTTAACAATTTTGTGGGTAACAACTTGGAATGTTTCAGACTTCACTAGAATACTGATGGTCCCATCCAGATACAGTCTCACCCCTGATGCAATGAAATGGAACATGCTACATGACTAGTCAGCTAAACATAATTGATTGATAGATCAAGTTCACTCAAATTTTTAACCCACACCACTTTCTAGGAATAGAGCCTGTTAGTTGGTTCTAGAAGAGGTACAGTAAAATAAAGACTGGAATGTTACACAACTCCTTTGGTACATATCACTCCAGTTAAGAAATTCTCTGAAAAGTCAGAAGAGAAATATTCCCAATGTCAGATGGAATTGTACCCAAAGTCAATTTCATAATGCAGGCTTTTACCCATTTCAGTTTGCCTGCATCGCACCATTTTTGCAAATTGTTTCACACAGGCAAACAATTCAGATAAAAGATGACTGCTATCCTATCATTGTTATGGTATGAGGAACAATGACAAACTGAATCACATTAGAAAGCTGAACTAGGTTAAATATTCTATACTCCAGAGCATTTCCAAACAGCTAATAAAGATCAAATATAATTGATGCAACATGTATTAAAGTGCAACTGATAACACAGGGACATAATTAGCCATAGCACTGGACATCCAGGTCATCTACTCCTCAGTTAAGTAAATTCAAGGGAACTTGCACAAGACAATAGCAAAATTTAGTACGTACCAAAATTCAAGTAAAATTGTCGTAAGTGCATTGAAGTTAAATTGCCACGCAAACCACCCTCGGGGTGTCAGGGGTGGTGTGCGGGGCTTGAAGCTAAGCTTCTACATCATCTGTTGCTGTAACCAGTGGCGAAGCTAGGGGCCTAGGGCCTGGGGGGCATTGCCCCCCTAACATCACAACAATTTTTTTTGAGCACCCTAGCTCGCGAGCCTTGAGCGACCTCCCTCGACCTTTGAGCCCTTTGCGCATCAACGTCAGCTCGCCTCTCGTCCTCCTGCATCCAAATTAAATCAACCAAGATGCGGCAAGAACGGTTGCAATGTCAACCAGTGCCACCTGTGACCATTCTGTTGAACTTCCCTTTAATGGCGGCCGCGGAAAGTGTGGCCATGTGGCCACACAGGCCGCCAATCACACAAGAACGGACCATGGCCAAATCGAAGACGTCGGCCACCATGGACACCACATTCCCCATAGTGCTTGTGAGGTCAGGTGAGGTGAGGGTTGGGGTAGGGGGAATTGAGCCGACGAATAATTGGTTTGCATTGGCATCTTCATATTGCCTCCACCCTTTCATTCTAGGAACAAACTTTGCTTCCCGGGATTTTGCGATGTCCAGCCTGCTTGGAGTAAGGTAAGTTCTTCGGAAGGGAGGATGGGGATGAAATGGGAAGAGGCGGGGCCATGGGTACTTGGATGGAAGTGGTGGTGGTGATTGGTGGTGCATTACAGATGATAAAAGAGTTACAACACATTTGGTTTGTGTCATGAAGGCATTTGGAATCATTAGAACCTAATGTTGAACATAGCCCTAGCGTTTGGTTTGCATCATGTGATGGAACCGTCCGTCATGAAGTCGTTCCACGTATAGCACTCCTAGATGCCAACCGAAAGAGATTTTCAGATGATGTCATTCCCCGATAAAATGCCAGACGAGCAGACACTGGACCGACCAGTCCATGCCGCATGAATTGAATCCTCAAACCAAACACGCTGTTAAAGACGCGTGAGGCATGAACCAAAGCCACCCAAAGGATCAAAAATAGATCTGTGGATAGTCACGAGCCGCGGATACCTAGGGCAGACCCAAGTTGAACCGAGCCGGGGCACAGGCCCTCACTCAATCCAAATACTATAAAATAAACTATAAGGGCCATTGTCTTTTAGCAATTCCTTTTTTCCATCAACACTAACTACTAAATGTTATGAAATATTAATGTGGATGTCCATAACCCCTATACCATCAAAGCTATAAGCTTCTACTTCATCAATGGTGTAACTCTCCTAGCATCAATTCTTATAACTCCATCTCACATGTATGGCTATATATAGGAGGGCTTATATATTGGAAACAAGACAAGAGAAAAGAGAACATCTCATTTCCTTCCTCTCTAAATTTGTTCTCCACATTCTTACATACACATTCTTGATAGTCAAACTAGCTATTATATAACACATTATGAGTACGACTGTCTCTAAAAGCTATCAAGAAATAGGTAAGAAATTTTACATTGATCATAATGTTATTTTTGTGGTAAGACATTATCATTTGTATTTGTTTCTATATTTTGTTTTTGCGCGATTGTTTGAATTTCGCAATATATATATTTTGTAGTTTACTATGTCGAATCTTGCCAAGCTTGATTTCACGGCTCTAGATATTTCGGGCAAGAATTACTTGTCATGGGTGCTAGATGCTGAAACTCACCTGAATGCCAATGGGCTTGGTGATGCGATCAAAGAAAAAAAATGCATCTAGCCAAGATAAAGCTAAGGCTTTGATTTTCATTAGCCGCCACCTCCATGAAAGTCTAAAGGCCGAATACCTTATTGATAAGGATCCCCTTGTTCTTTGGAACAAACTAAAAG